CAGGGAATTTGTCAGACCCTATGAAGTTGGCCAAGCAGAATCTGGATGCGACTTGTTTGCAAGTTATATGGTTACATATTGGGTAGAGCCCTACCCCAATATTTGTGTTATACAGTATTGTAGTGCATTAGGGACTTGAGTTGGATATGGGAATCTATGACCTATTATCATTAATAAACTTGAAAGTTGCTGTGCAGACATTTACCCTTTCAACAGTGGCAGGACAACATACTTCCCCCCCAAAATTGAACTTGTTATATTAATAAAATTTGCACTCATACTACTGTGCCTTCAGTTTATAGGACTTATTTTTCAATTACAGGGGGACCCCCGGGTAACGAACTGTTTTCTTCAGTAGTTTGTTCAGGGGCACAGTACTGACCGAATTTTTTACCCTTAAGGAATATTGTGAAGTAGATTATCAATTTCAGGACCCCCATACTTATCAGTACAAGCATTACATAAATTCTCTTAACATAATTGGTCGCATTTGGAGGGTGATCGTTATGCGGGGCGTCAATCGTATAAGCCTTATTTGAACTTGTCCTTTTAAAGTAGTTGTGCAAACAAGACACAAAAAGCTGACTTCACCCCCCATGTCCACATCATCCTGTTGTGAAAATTCAATGCTCATTAATGGCCTTTAGTTCTGGAGCTCCATCTGAAGCATTGTAGGTTTCCCTGTCTGACCACCATTTCAAAGCTGTTAAAAATAACAACATCGCCTTAGCATAATTGTGTCAGCAATTCGTTATGTCTAAACAAAACCAGCTTTATCCAGTTGTCCCTGTTCTTCTTTCAACACCCATACATAATTGGTAACTTATATTGCCCTATTTAATTATATTGTAATCTAAAGTAAACGTATGTTTTCAATTTTCTTTATTCAGAATGTCAGTATAAAACTGAAGGATCTTTGAATTAGTACTTCGAAATAGGTCTCTTTTGTGATAGACTATTTGTCATTAGGTGTCTTATTATGTTGATAAGTGTCTCAAAGTTCTTCAAGGTTGTCTTTTTTAGTTAATTGCATAAGAATTCTTATTTAATTGTATGTATATTAATTAATTATGGCTTACAATTAGTGGTCCATAATGCATCAACTTAATTGTGGCCATCTTTTGATGCTACGTTTATATTAATTCATGTAATTTACATTAAGTGGTGTAAAGAAAAAAGTAGTATTAGTGTCAAAAAATATAAATATGGTTTGTTGTGTTTGCCAGGACTGTTGAATATTGTGTGTTGTTGTATCAACATGTGCGGACCAAGACTATTGCAACATGTAACACCAAAAATACTGACTGGGGACAGTGTTGTAGCTCAAGAGGAAACCGGACAAGTATCTTCACCAGGTGCGGATCAACAGGCTGTGATGGATGGGTCAGTGGACCACAGCAGTATTTTCCCTGGGTGTAGCAGGCAAACACCAGATGAGCCTGAACCCTTGGCTGGGCCTTTGCAGCAGAAAAACATCTGAACCTCATCTGAGGGTAATGTTGTTTGTCAATAGTGTGTGTGAGGAGTTTATAATTTACTAATTTATTTTTTTTTTTCAACACACCAGCCGTATCCCACCAAGCCGGGTGGCCCAAAAAGAAAAACGAAAGTTTCTCTTTTTAAATTTTAGTAATTTATACAGGAGAAGGGGGTTACTAGCCCCTTGCTCCAGGCTTTTTAGTCGCCTCTTACAACACGAATGGCTTACGGAGGAAGAATTCTGTTCCACTTCCCCAGGAGATAAGAGGAATTAACAAGAAACAAGAACTAGAGAAAGAAGAATAGAAGAAAACTCAGTGGGGTGTTGTATATATATGCTTGTATACATGTATGTGTAGTGTGACTAAGTGTAAGTAGAAGTAGCAAGAAGTTACTGAAATTATTGCATGTTTAACCGAAACAGTAAAAAAGGATACAGCTATCCTACCATCATGTAAAAAACAATTACAGGCTTTCGTTTTACACTCACTTGGCAGGACAGTACGTACTTTTTTGTTAGAGCTTGCATTGTTATGAGAAGAAATCAGTGGTGAAATTTTTTGGGGAAACTGTCTGTTACTGTACATGTTGTCATTACATGCCTGCATGGAGTGGGATTCATGGCAATTGCCTATCTGAGCAGTATTATTTCAGGAATGTGGAAAGTGAGTGGTTCTATATTTTTTGTATATAGCTCCGCGGCCATCTCGCACCGAGGCAAGGTGATCTGAAAATGAAATGAATGTTTTTCTTTTTTCATTGACAAAAAATTGGATTTCAGTAATATAAACAGCCTTGCTGTTGGCAGAGCTGTTTAAGATTTGTAGGCCCCTGGGATACAGGTAAGGTGGAGGCCCTTGGGCTACAGGTACTATGAAGCCCCTGGGCTACAGGTACTGAGAGACCCTGGGCTACATGGTACTGAGAGACCCCTGGGCTAAAGGTTGATGTAGTAACATACTATTTTTTTTTATAAATATATTTTGTGAACTTATTTTAAGTAGTGTTATATACTATTTTTTTAACGTACTTTAATTATAAATTACAGCTTGTAACTGTGAACACTGTTCAATTAATCTCGGAGCCCTCTGATGGGCAGTGGCCCTGGGCTGCAGCCCACTAAAAACCAATTGGCATTCATCTGGCCCGGGCTGTTGGAGTGTGAGCAAGGTAACATTATGAAAGGGTGCAGGAAAAAACTGTGTTAGCTGGACTTAGAGACCTGGAGGTGGGTAAGTAAAATGCCTGCACTCTGATGGTGGGGTGGGGATATTTTGCAGTATTGGAGTGCCTTTGGCATGATCAGTGATGGAGTAGTGACGTGTTGGAAAGTTTTTTTTTTTTTGTCACCATATCTCGGTGGGAAACGGCTGGTTGTATTAGTAAAATAATATAGAAGGTGCTGTGTAAGGGGAAGAGAAGTTACTGTGCCACCAATAATGTGAAAATGACACTTTTTCATAGAGCATTAAGCATGTTCCAATTTGATAATGCTGCAGTGATTAATGTGGTAATGATATTTCAGGAGATGACAGGTTCATATTGTCACGTGGATGGATCACAGAGCAAAGGAACAAGCCGCTTCTTTTAATTCTCAGGAACATTAGTACGTATCGTGAAGGGGAATTTCTGGATATACATTATTGTGCTTATACCTGGAGTTCCCTGGAAGGTGTTCTGGGGGTCATACCCCTGCGGCCTGGTCCGTGATCAGGCTGCAAGGGTGGATCATGGCCTGATCAACCAAGTTTACTACTACTGGTAAACTGTCTTATAGTGTGGACTTAAGGAAATGTGAATGTTTGATTTATAAATCCTAGATGTATGGCAAAATGTAGTACGGGGTGAACATCAAGTGGAAAAAAAAAGTATACTGCCACAACATTATTTGTCTGTAATTGTCAATGTAAATGGGGAGCCTTTAATTGAGCTATGTGTAGAAAGAAATTGGTAATAAGTAACCATATTTTATGAAAAAGAGGATAAATAATATACAAGGTATGATGTAGCACGTAATGAAAGTGGGTTTGTTAGATTATGTATGGTGGATAAAGGTTGATGGGTAGGCTCCAGGATGTAATGTTTATAGAGGGGCAACTGATATATCGGTTCATTATTTAGTTGTAGCTACAGTTAGAGTAAGAGGTAGATGGGAAAAGAGGAAAGGGGGCAACAACAAGTAAGAGGGAGGTGAAAGTGTATAAACTAAGGGAGGAGGAAAATTCGGGCGAGATATAAGCGATATTGGCAGAAAGGTGGGCTAGTGCAAAAAAATGGTAGTGGGGGGTTGAAGAGGGTGGAATAGGGTTTTTTTGCGTATGGAATGTGGGGCAAGAGTTTGTGGTATAAGGAGGGTGGGGGCAGGAGGAAAAGGAGTGATTGGTGGAATGATGGGAAATAAAGGGTTGTAAAGAGAAAAAGGTAAACTTAGAGAGGTTTTACAAGCTGAAGTGTTATAAGAAGAGCAGAGTATATGGAGAGTAAAAGAAAGGTGAAGAGAGTGGTGAGAGAGTGCAAAAGGAGAGCAGATGAAAGGTGGGAGAGGCACTGTCAAGAAATTTTAATGAAAATAAGAAAAAATTTTGGAGTGAGTTAAACAAGTTAAGGAAAGCCTAGGGAAAGTATGGATTTGTCAGTTAAAAAACAGAGTAGGGGAGTTAGTTAGATGGGGAGAGGGAGGTATTAGGTAGATGGCGAGAATATTTTGAGGAACTTTTAAATGTTAAGGAAGAAAGGGAGGCGGTAATTTCATGCACTGGCCAGGGAGGTTATACCATCTTTTAGGAGTGAAGAAGAGCAGAATGTAAGTGTGGTGGAGGTACGTGAGGCATTACGTAGAATGAAAGGGGTTTTTGGGTAAAGCAGCTGGAACTGATGGATCATGACAGAAATGTTAAAAGCAGGGGGGGGATATAGTGTTGGAGTGGTTGGTACTTTTGTTTAATAAATGTATGAAAGAGGGGAAGGTACCTAGGGATTGGCGGAGAGCATTGTATAGTCCCTTTATACAAAGGGAAAGGGGACAAAAGAGATTGTAAAAAATTATAGAGGAATAAGTTTACTGAGTATACCAGGAAAAGTATACGGTAGGGTTATAATTGAATAGAATTAGAGGTAAGACAGAATGTAGAATTGCGGACGAGCAAGGAGGCTTCAGAGTGGGTAGGGGATGTGTAGATCAAGTGTTACATTGAAGCATATATGTGAACAGTATTTAGATAAAGGTAGGGAAGTTTTTATTGCATTTATGGATTTAGAAAAGGCATATGATAGAGTGGATAGAGGAGCAATGTAGCAGATGTTGCAAGTATATGGAATAGGTGGTAAGTTACTAAATGCTGTAAAGAGCTTTTATGAGGATAGTGAGGCTCAGGTTAGGGTGTGTTAGAAGAGAGGGAGAATACTTCCGGTAAAAGTAGGTCTTAGACAGGGATGTGTAATGTCACCATGGTTGTTTAATATATTTATAGATGGGGTTGTAAAGAAGTAAATGCTTAGGGTGTTCGGGAGAGGGGTGGGATTAAATTATGGGGAATCAAATTCAAAATGGAATTGACACAGTTACTTTTTGCTGATGATACTGTGCTTATGGGAGATTCTAATAGAAAAATTGCAAAGGTTAGTGGATGAGTTTGAGAATGTGTGTAAAGGTAGAAAGTTGAAAGTGAACATAGAAAAGAGTAAGGTGATGAGGGTATCAAATGATTTAGATAAAGAAAAATTGGAATATCAAATTGGGGAGGAGGAGTATGGAAGAAGTGAATGTTTTCAGATACTTAGGAGTTGACGTGTCGGCGGAGATGGATTTATGAAGGATGAGGTTAATCATAGAATTGATGAGGGAAAAAAAGGTGAGTGGTGCGTTGAGGTATATGTGGAGTCAAAAAACGTTATCTATGGAGGCAAAGAAGGGAATGTATGAAAGTATAGTAGTACCAACACTCTTATATGGATGTGAAGCTTGGGTGGTAAATGCAGCAGCGAGGAGGACGGTTGGAGGCAGTGGAGATGTCCTGTCTAAGGGCAATGTGTGGTGTAAATATTATGCAGAAAATTCGGGTGTGGAAATTAGGAGAAGGTGTGGAGTTAATAAAAGCATTAGTCAGAGGGCAGAAGAGGGGTTGTTGAGGTGGTTTGGTCATTTAGAGAGAATGGATCAAAGTAGAATGACATGGAAAGCATATAAATCTATAGGGGAAGGAAAGAGGGGTAGGGGTCGTCCTCGAAAGGGTTGGAAAGAGGGGGTAAAGGAGGTTTTGTGGGTGAGGGGCTTGGACTTCCAGCAAGCGTGCATGAGCGTGTTAGATAGGAGTGAATGGAGACGAATGATACTTGGGACCTGACGATCTGTTGGATTGTGAGCAGGGTAATATTTAGTGAAGGGATTCAGGGATATGTTGTGTATCTTTATATGTTTATGCTTCTAGACTGTTGTATTCTGAGCACCTCTGCAAAAACAGTGATAATGTGCGAGTGTGGTGAAAGTGTTGAATGATGATGAAAGTATTTTCTTTTTGGGGATTTTCTTTCTTTTTTGGGTCACCCTGCCTCGGTGGGAGACGGCCGACTTGTTGAAAAAAAAAAAAAAAAAAAAAAAAAATTCAGGGAAACCGGTTATTTTCATATAGTCGGACTTGAGTCCTGGAAATGGGAAGTACAATGCCTGCACTTTAAAGGAGGGGTTTGGGATATTGGCAGTTTGGAGGGATATGTTGTGTATCTTTATACGTATATGCTTCTAAACTGTTGTATTCTGAGCACCTCTGCAAAAGCAGTGATAATGTGTGAGTGTGGTGAAAGTGTTGAATGATGATGAAAGTATTTTCTTTTTGGGGATTTTCTTTCTTTTTTTTTGGGTCACCCTGCCTCGGTGGGAGACGATCGACTTGTTGAAAAAAAAAAAAAAAAATTGTCAACATTACAAAGAATACTGTAGAAAAGTAGAAAAAATTACATTTTGTATACAGTGGACCCCCGGTTAACGATATTTTTTCACTCCAGAAGTATGTTCAGGTGCCAGTACTGACCGAATTTATTCCCATAAGAAATATTGTGAAGTAGATTAGTCCATTTCAGACCCCCAAACATACACGTACAAACGCACTTACATAAATACACTTACATAATTGGTCGCATTCGGAGGTAATCGTTATGCGGGGGTCCACTGTATTTACTACATATATATATTTTTTCAAGACTGGCCGTCTCCCACCAAGGCAGTGTGACCTGAAAAAGAAGAAACGAAAGTGTTTCTTTTTATGTTTAGTAATTAATGCAGGAGAAGGGGTTACTATCCCCATGCTCTTGGCATTTTAGTTGCCTCTTACAAAATGCATGGATTTTATTATTTATAGTATTTACATAAGAATGTTTTTTCAGTGTGCTGAAATACGTGGGAGGTAAAGTGTTGCTGGAAATGCAGGACTCCCAAAACTTCTTTGGCTCAAGAAGAATATGAAAAACACTTGGGCCAGGGCTGGCCATTTTATAGATTTACCAGATTTCCTGACCTTGAAAGCCACAGGACAGTTTTCAAGGTAAGTTATTTCTCTATGATCTGTTGCCTGTCATGTGAGAGAGTTTAAAGCAAGTACACCTTTGACTGCCTGTATGTTATCTGTTGCTGTGTATGCTTGATTAGCTCCTAAGTGTTTAGGGTTTAGGTACTGATGGTTTTAACTCGGGTCATTCACAAATTAATAAAATGCAAACACTGGGTATCATTTAATAAATGATAGTGCAAATATGTTTTTAGATTTTTAAATATACTGGCAGGCGAGAAAAAAAGAATGATTCGCTTTAAAGTTATTATTATTATTATTATTATTATTATTATTATTATTATTGTTATGGGGAAGTGCTAAACCCATGGGAAAGGGCATTGAGGCTTAAATCGGGAATTGGAGCACAGATCCAACCCCTAGACAAGAGCCCCTCACCGCATCAGGAACCCCCCTTTGAGAAAAGGGGTCACTTTAAAGGAGGGGGGCGAGTCTGTCCCTTGCAGAACAAGGTTTTACTGTGGGCTCCCTCAGATTACCTGTTTACTTTACTCTTTGTGTACAGTTTAAGGTGATGCTCGCTTTACGGCACCGGTCTAAAACCCTAACCCCGCCACATTTGAAGATACCCTGTTTTGTGTAGTCATGTTTGGTTTTATTGGTCCTTGGGTAATTAAGAATAATAATAAAAAAATTGGTGATAATTTATTTTCTTTTTCCCCCAAAAATCTTCTTGAAAGATTTAGATCACTTATCTTATATGTGCCAGATCCTCGTGTATGATGGTTTTGTAGGCTGCTAGAAACAGTTAGTTGATGGGCAGTCCAAGGAATCCTAACCTCAGACCTGGGGGTGAAATAGAAAATAAAAACCCCTTGAATTTTTTGAACCCTTTTACATTTGTTGCACTGGTGCATTTGTGCATTTGTGCAGTACTTTAGATGGAGTGCCCTTTAAAACCCTTAAATGGTAAAAGTATATAGTTACGTTTTTTCAACTCTGAAAGTATGTAAAAAAATGTAGTCTTTTTTTTTTGTTTTCATTTGAAAAGTGTAAAAAATTTTTTTATTACATTTTTTTTTTTTATATTTGAAAATATGTAAAAAAAAAAGTAGATCTATTTGTAGCACTACAAATTTAAACGCGATCGTTTGGCCCTTTTAAAGGGGTTAAAAATTTTCAAAATTCTGGTATCTTTATTTTAAATTTTTTTTTTCTTTGCTTTACCATTTTTTGTCCTTCCAAAAAATATCCTGAATGTGGATGCCCTCTTAATTTTTTTGAGAAGGTCCTTTTTTTTTTTTTTTTTCCCCCAAAAAGTCGGGTTCCCCAAAGAGGCAGGGTGACCCAAAAAAAAGAAAATCCCCAAAAAAGAAAATACTTTCGTCTATTCAACACTGTCACCACATCACACATTTCACTTTTTTTGCGAGGTGCAGAATAAAAACAGTTTGAAGCTTTACGTTAAAAATACAAAACATACCCCCTCCAAACTCCCAAAATTCCCCAAACCCTCCTTTAAAGGCAGGCATTGTACTTGCATTTCCGGACTAAAGTCCGCTATAAAAAATTTTCCGGTTTTCCCCTGACCCCTTTCATAAATGTTCCTGCTCACACCCAAGATCGTCAGGCCCCAAGTTTATTATCCCCCTTCCCCCTATCAAACACGCTCACGCCCCACTTGGGGAAAATCCACCCCCCTCGCCCAAAAAACCCTCCTTTACCCCCTCCCCCAAAACCTTTCGAGGACGCCCACCCCCCCTTCCTTTCCCCTTAAAATTTTTATATGCTTTCCATGTTTTTAAATGTATCGTCTTTAATATCTTGTTTTAGTCCTCCTTCATATTTCTTTATTCCCTCATCCCTCCTTCAGGTGGGTAAGGGGAAAATTTAAAACACGTAAAAATAAAGTTTTGGTAGAAAAAAAATCCTTTAAAATTTCCCCCAAGTGGACTTTTTGACCCTTTGGGTGAAAAACATTGTCAATGTTGTGTTGGGTTTACCTGGGAGAGTTCCGGGGGTCAACGTCAAGCGCTGGTCTGGCCCAGGCCTCCTGGGGATCAAAGCCTGATAACCAGGCTGTTATGGGTCAGCAACCCAACGACGGCCCACAGCCCGTGGTCAGGTACCGCTTTAGTGCTTTTCCGTCCCGCTTGAAGACGCAGGGATCTTTTTGGTAATCCCCTTATGTATGCTGGGGGGGTAGTTAAACGTCTGGGGCCCCCTGAACTTTTTTTAAATTTCTCTTAACGTGCTAGTGACCCCCCTGTTTTCATTGGGGGGATGTTGCATTTTTGCATTTCTAGTTTTTTAAATTGTTTTTTTAAGCTTAGGATTATCTCCCTGAATGCCTGCATGTTGTGGCTTTTTTTGTTTCTAATAATTTTTTTAATAGTCTCCAGGGGGGAAATGGAACGAATTCTTCCTCCGTAACCCAGCGTGTCGTAAGGGCGCAAAAATCCCGGGGCAAGGGGATGAAACCCCCTTTTCCCCTGTATATTTTATAAATTTTGAAAGGGAAACTTTTTTTTTTCCTTTTGGGCCCCCCAAAAATGGTGGTTTCGGCTGGTACGTTGAAAAAAAGAATATTTTATAGTGCGGTAAACTACATTTTTTTTTTTTTTACTGTATACAAATAAAGTATTATTTTTTATTTATTTTCACTTTTTTTCACTTTGTTTCCTTATCTACAATTTTTCTGGATGTTAGCATCTTCTGCTATCCAGCATTTAAAGTCTCTCTCGATTTAACATCGTCATGAATGTTTTTATGTTTTTTCAAAATTATTTTTTTCTTTTTACTTTTTTAAAGATCTTTATTTTTGGGTTTCCCCCTAAAGGTCACTCTGCTCATTAGTGTGCAAATGGACCTACATGAGTGTGAGCGGCTGGATGGGAAGCGGGTTTTTAAAACCATTGGGCGGGAAAGTTTTAGTGTGTGACTCTCACAAAATTGGTGTGTATTTCTAGTTTCTTTAAAGAAAAATATATGTTAGTAAAGTAGAGCTTCGGAAAGGTGACCCTTTTATCAGATGATAAAGGCTCACCCAAAAAAGTTTTGGTCTGCTAAATGTTTTGTAAAAGAAAGTTTTTTTAATAATTTTGCCTGAAAAACATTATTTTTTTTTTTTGGTTTTTTAAGTAAGTTATTTAGGTACAGGTAACATAAGTACAATTTATACATAGTAACAGTGTATAAATTACTAGGTTTTATTTATTTATTTATTTATTATTTTTTATTTTTTTTTTCCAATTTGTGCCACATACAGAGGTAAAAAAAAAAATACAGAAAGAGCGTATGCCAAAGCCATTTTATTATGCATAGCTTTACGGGCTGGCTTAAAAAAAACTTAAGATTAACAAGCAATGATTTTTATTATTATTATTATTATATTATTTTTATTATTTTTATTTTATTTTTTTTTATTAAAACCCCAAGAAAGTAAAAAAGGTTTTTTTTTCATTTTGCCCCAGTTTTCCTCCGCTTTATATAAATTTAGACAAATAGAAATAAGGAGGCCCCTTTTTCCCCTCAAAAAACAATAGGTTTTTTTTTGTATTGCAATTCATTTTTAAAAATTTGTTTTTTATATTTCAAACAGTGTCTTGAAAAACATTAATTTACTTTAAAATGTCTGTAAATATCATTACAGTGGTATCTGGGTTACAATTTAATTCGTTCCAAAAGGCTGTTCGAGTCCCGTACCAAACAAATTTTTTCCCCTAAGGAAAAAGTAAAATGTTAAATCCTTTCAAACCCCAAAAATTACACTTCCAAAAAACATTTACAAAATTTTCGAGTTGGGGCTGTTCGATGCCAAGGTCCACTGTTTATGTGTATTTTAAAGGTGAGTTGAAGGGTTTGTATTTTTACCTGTGATATGTAGGATTTTGCTGTGTAGCGAATATAGAAATTTATGTACTTATTTAAAACATTTTTTTAATACTCTAGGTGACTAAAAATTAAAATGATTTTCTGAATTTAATACCCCAACCTCTTTTTGGGATGAAGGATTGTCCTTTCCCCACCCCGGGCTTGAGTCCTGCAAAAAATGGTTTCCTGATCCATTCTAAATTTTACCTGCTCACACTCCCGCTGTCAAACTATAAAACCACTTGTCTCCACTCTGACCTGACATTCCCCCCTAGGTCTTTTGGTGCTCAGCCTCTAGCCCTAAAAAACCTCATTTTTTCAAACCCCTTCCTGGGAAAATTCCTACCCTTCCCTTTCGTTTTGGTCTTTCCCATTTTGCCCCATCCTCTCCAAATACCACACTATCTCAAAAACCCTCCAAAGCTCTGAATTATAAAATTTTAAAACCCGCCATCTCCAAATTTTCTACTTTTCACATTCTCTGCTTTAATATTCACATTACCCTCGACAAGACATCTCTACTGCCCCATAGCGCCTCTTCCCACAGATGCCTCAGATTTTAATACCTTTTTTTTCCTTTGTAAATTTATATTTTCCCTTGTTTAAAAAGAATGCCCCCAAGATTGACTTAATTGGCTAATTGTTTCACGGGGAAAGACAGTGATGACACGGGACTAATGTGGCAAAATCTCTGCAACAGCGATTGGAATTGGGATGTTGACACCCTTTGTTGCATGTCTATTATTGATGCTCATGAGGGGGCTGGCTCTGGTGGTGCTGGGGCAAAAACCAAGAAAGACTCATTGGTAGTAGGAAAAAAAAATTCTTATGTCCTAATTTTTATATTGACATTTGGTATTTTAAAAATCATAATTTTTTTTTAGCTGATGCTATGTTTGTAAAAAGATGGGTGACTTTTAAGTGTGCAAAAAGCACTTGGTTTGCTACATTTTGGGGGGTTTTAAAAAATTAAACCTATCTTAAGGGGCTATAAAAAGGGAAAACTAAATTTATTGCTTATTTATATGGTCTCTCCAAAATCTTTTTTAAAGGTTCAAGATCTGAAATTCAGGGGAAGTTTTATCTAACTTATCCTTTTAGCTAAAACGTAATTGTAAATGGTCGATGATCAGGAGGGCCCTCTTTACAGCACTTCGCATTATGAGTTTTGCTAAAGCAGCAGTTTTCAAAATTTTACCCATTCTTCTTTATTCAGACTTCCTACGAAAAATTTTTCACCACTAAAAAGCTAAAAATGAAAAAATTGCTGGAAGTCCCAAAAGGGTTGGTTCCGCAAGCATGTGTGAGTATTTGATGGGGGAGTGGGCCTTTTTTAATGGGAAAAATAATCTATTTTTGTCGCTCCAAATTTTCTTGTTCCATTTATTCCATGGAAAAGTTTTTCGGGATGCCCTTCGCCTGAAGATTTATTTTTTAATTTTTTTTGGGGGTTTTTTTAAAAATTTTAAGTCCCCTCAGCAGAAATAAATGAAAGACAAAAACGGGGCTCTTCTTCTTTAAAAACTGGCCTATCCCACTGAAGCAGGGTGGCCTAAAAAGAAAAAAAAAAGTTTTTCTTTTTAACCGTAATGCTTTTAGGAGAGGGTACCGACCCTTTCTCCTGGCCCCTTAACACCCCTAATCTTGCTATCCTTCTGGGGCTTTCCTATCTTCTTCTTTTTCGGCAACTTCGCTTTGGGAGTTAACCAAGACATTTTACCTCGGTTTTGGCCCCTGTGGTTTTTTTTTAAAAACCCGGCCTCTTTGCCTTGGGCCCTTTCCCTCACTACTCGAGGGTGGCTATCTTGGGGCTACTTTTATAATCAGCTGAATTAGGATGTTAGGTTAACATAAGGAAAGATCCCCTTTTTTTTTTCGAAACTCCCCTGCCCGTGTTCCTTTAAAACATCATGGCGAGGTAGTGTAAAATTAAATTGATGGGAATCAAAAGTCCATGAAAAAAATTTAAAATGTATTTGCTCCAACTCAACTGTTGCCCAGTGGAGTTTTTCAAAACCCCCGCTTGGGGGCAGTATTCTCTCTTCGGAAGAAAGGTTTTTTTCAACTGCTGAAGCAGTGTCCTGGATAAACTGAAGGCTTCTGGTGTTTCCCGTTGCACCCGGAGCTTTCAAGCTCAGAGGACTGTGTTTGTGGCCAGAATTAACGTTTCATGAAACTTGCACAGTGAATGAAAATTTTGGAGAACATTATACAGAGAAATTTTGAAATTTTGGGGGTGTAGAAGCACATTAAAATTTTCGAATCCTAAAACCCAAAAAGGTAACCTAAAGTTAATACTTGAGCACCCGAGGAGGCCAACTTGTGTGTCAAAATGGCTTAAATGTTTTGGGACCAGTTTTTAAACCCGACCCAAATTTTTCTTGAACACTTTGTCAGTGTGACACAAAGTTTTAAGTGTTTTGCCTTTTGGTCATAATAAAAACAAATGCGTACTCAAGGGCCCGATTTGTAACATTTGCTTGGCCAAATTGTTCGAGATTGTAACAACAAAAAAATACACCCAATGTGTCCTCTGCAATGGAAAACTCTGCGTTTCTGCTATTTGTTGAAAAAAAAAAAGGAAATGCAGAAAATTCTTTAGCCAAGAAAATGTCCCTTCTAAAAAGCCAACTCCCCAGGCACCCCCAAAGATGTCCCAAAATTTCCCTTCCCGCTTGCCCGGGTCAAGTGGGATCCCCAGGTCTTACCCTGGTTCCAATGTTTGGATTCTGCCCCCCTTGGGTGCCCAATCTAACCCACTTACAACATACACAAAGCACAACAAGGTTCGTTTTTTATCTCCCATGCTCAGGATCCACAGCCGGGGGAAAGACGAGAGCAAACTAATGTACATGTGGCCCAAAAACATAGCAGGTGGTGAAAATTCAACTCTGCTCTCGGTTTTTTTGATCTTTAAAAGGCTAATGGGATCCCCCTCATATCCGAAAATGTCAAAGGGTATTTGACCCGCTTTTAACAAAAAGTAGTCCAACTCTAAATTTAAAAAAAAGCTAAGTCATCCCTGGCCCAGGATCCCCCACTGCAAAAACCCGGTTTTTAAATCCCCCCCCAAACCCCATAAGTCAAAAAACTGAAAATAACATGCCCCCAGAAATTGGTGCCCACTCCCCGCTATAGAAATGATCCGTTTAACAGGAACTTTTCCCAAAGGTAAATCACCTTGCCTACCTAAAATTCCCCTTTGGGGCTCCCGTTTCCCCTTAACTCTCACGGCCCCCCTTCCCGTAATGGAAAATTTTTGCCATACCTCAGTTTTCTGTGATGACTAACGATTCTAATGAGTTGTTATATTACTTTCCTCTAGTGAAGATGATGGCATTTTTAATACACAAGCACCACGCAAAAGTTCCCCCTTTCCCCCTTTAGATCCGCAGGGGTGTGGGTCAAACGGACTTTACTTGCAGGCGTTCAGGCCGCAGTGCACGGGAAAATGCAAAAAAATAATGGGGGGGTTTTAATTTTCCAAATTAAAGTTCAACATTTCTTTTAAAAACCCTTACCTTCTTGGGTTGAAACATAAAAAATCCCGATGTTTTTCTTTTTAAGAGAAGCTGCAAGGTTGTCAAATATTTAAAATTAGGGTTACCCATGTTGAGAAATGAAAAGGGGCCCTTTAGTGGGGTAGCCATTTAGTTAAATTAGGCTTACATTTTTAAAAAATTCTGTTGATGAAGATAACTTTTTGCAATGAAATGCAACGTCTCTGGACAACTGTGATAGGAACTGGTATTTTCCCCCAGACAAAACCATATACAGGAGGGCCCCCCTTTCGGGGGTTAGGTTCGGCACCGCCCCTAAAGTGGAACACCCCTTTTTTTCCCCTTTTCAAAAGCATACAAACATAGATAAAAAAGTTTAAATAAATTATTATGTTTGCAAAGAACCAGGCATCAAAAAAACAAAAAAAAGTACAATACCACATAGGCACCTCTTTTCTTACCTTAAATTTTATGTCTTATCTAGGGTGAGACAAAGTAGTATTTATTGTAAGAATCAAAGGGGGTTTGTATGGTGTCGCAGGCTACCTTTCCGGGGCCCCCCACCCCACTATTTTCTTGATA